CTGTGCATCTTTCGTTAGCCATAGCAACACAACAAGGGATTTATTTTTATTTATAATGACTGCTTTGAGAACAAAGAGCCATTAATCATACATAATAAAAACCTGAAAGATGATTTTAAGACAGATAAATTATAATAATGAAATCATCATTTCTTCTCTTTTCCCTTCATCTTCTTGTTGGTTTCACCATTGTGTTCCTTAGAGACCTTCTTTGTTGCAGATAGATTTGGATAAGACGATCCAACAGAGGATACCTTTTCTTCATCAGATTCACCTTCGATATATCCAACAAGCTTGGTTTTGCAATCATAAGTTCGATAGAAGGCTCGGAGATCCTTGTCCATATAAGGGTTATTCCAAATATCCAAGGAGATGAATCCCTCTTTAACTATTAGAGGGGGTGCCTCATTGGGATCAAACGGTCTGGCATCTTCATCGGATTCATATGTGATGAATCCATCATAGTGCTCAAGATCTGAGTCAGAGGAGACATCCAGGGGAGCACGCAGGCTATTGCCTGGATAAAGATCGCCTTGTTCTTCTCTAACAAGATGAGCTCTTTCTTTGATCCTTCGTGTTGCATCTCTAGTGATTGGTGCCTTAGGAGCCATTGTTGATAGGTTTGAGTGATGTTAAAGTGAAACAAATGGCCTCCTTTTATAGCCATAGATGAGATATAGATAGTCAATGTGTATACATTGATTTCAACCAAATGCGAATTACTTGGAGTAATGATATCGATTTCCGTGATATGTGAAACCGATGTGGATATGTGCATTTATGAGCATCAAATTCCACACAACTTTCAATTTCAAGATAAAAACTTTTGTGAGATGGTACATTAGCAATTAATTCATCTTTGACCGGAATAGCAATGTTCTGATATTTTAAGATCATGGTCAAGATAATAATTATTGCTGACAACAAGAACAGGAGATTTCATTGAGCGAAGCCAGAGAGTAGGTGACCATGCCCTACAGATAAATTAAGCATTATTTAAAGGAAACGATAAGGCATGTGAAGCTTCAGACGAGTCGACTCATCAATCACATCAGGCAAGTTAGCCTTTTTCGCATATTCGTCCAATTCCTCTAAGGAGAGGGTGGGTTCAGGCGATTTGTTTGATGACTGAGAGTAAACATGGGTGAAATCTTCATAAGATTTTTCATTCTTTTGCGGAGCTTCAAGAAAGGGATACCAACGAAAGGTTCATTTGATGAGTTCGTTTGAGTTTTGATCATTTGATGAGTTCGTTTCTAACAAAAGAAAGGAGGAGGATTGAGAGTCTACCTCTTCATCTTGTGATAAGACACATTTCGCTTGATTCTTCTTCCTCGCTGAACAAGCACAGCAGTCCCTTCTCTCCTTCAGCACTGTCATCATCCGAGCCTGAGCTTGAGGAACTGCTTTCGGATTCATTATTTTCGGTCGTTTCATTTACGACCATTGCTTTTCTCCTTCTTTCGTTTCTGGAGTTCGACGATTCTGGTTTGTCACTCCTTTCGCTGGTTTCTTTTGTCGTGCCCGAGTCCTGATGTTTGCTGACCATTGGATGTGGACAATTTGCTTTAAAATGTCCAGGCTTTCGACAATTATAGCCCAGCATTTGGGAATCCACTGTTTCTTGTCTTGGTGGAAGCGGAGATCTTTCATGTTGCCTTCGGCTTGATGATCTTTGAAAGTCTTGAAAGTTGTTTTTCCGCATGAATCTTTTCATTTTCCTAACAAACATGGCATATTGTTCGTCAGATAAAAAATTTGAAGAGTTAGAGGTTGACCTATTTGATGTCGAGGGTTGTTGGTTGGCCACCAAAGCCACGTTTTTGAGGGTTCTTCCAACTCTTTTGGTTCGTTCTCGAACTCATAAGCTTTCATATCACTGAAGATTTTGCTTGTGCTCGTGGTTTTCATGTCGCGATGATCTCTCATTGCAGTGATTTTCATGTCCCATGATTTTGGGAGACCTCGAAGAATCTTCAAATTCTTTTCCTTTTCAGTGAGCTCTTTTCCGAGATCTGACAGGTCACCTAGAAGCTTTGTGAATCTTAGCTCCATGTCGGTGACAGCTTCGTTAAGCATCATCTTGAAGTCTTCAAACTTCTTCATGGCAACAGTGAGTTTGTTGTCCTTTTTTTGCTCATCTCCTTCTCCCAAGTTCATAAGGACGTTCCAGATTTCCATGGCTGTTTTGCATTTGCTAACTCTCGGGAAGAGGGAATCGTCCAATGATTTGTAAAGAATGTCTCGTGCTACATTATCTAGGTTAGCTCTTGTTTTCTCATCCGAGTTGAGCTGAGACTTTGGTTTCGGTATCATTGGTTCTGCATCAGCTCCCAACAGCATTGGTATTCACCATCATCACCGTGATGGGTCCTGTGCATATGACATCCCACATTTCATCATGGATCGCCGTGAGATGTGCCTGCATCCTTACTTTCCAATCATCAAATTTTGATAGATTAAAGGCAAAAGGCCTGTATCGGTTACCATGCTCCTTTTCCATTTTTCTTTTAGAAAATGAGTGCAAAGGCGAGAAAAAGCAAATTTTAAGCTTTTAAAGAAAAGGGATCTACCAGGCAGTAAAGGCAAAGCTTTTACCGTTCGAGGTAACTGCTCTGATACCACCCCCACCCCACTCTACTTTACCCTACCCCATCCAAAAATATTAATAAATGCTCTGTATTTATGTATATATTTTATATTAAGAATAAAAAATTTATTTCCCCCCCCCCCCCCTTCAATCTTTTGTTTTAGAAAATTTTAATATGTATATATTAAATAAATCCAAAACATATATTGAAGTCCAAATTCACCAAATAAAAATAAATAAATCAAGTAATTAATTAATTAACTATTATGTATTTTCTTTTTTATTATTTACACTATATGATATACATTTACTAATTCAAAAGACTAGCTAGTTTTGAAATTGGAAAAACTAATTTTAATATTAATTCATTAATTTGTGATTTTGAAATTCGTCCTCATTTCTCAAATTTTAGAATATTAAATTAATTAGTAAAATGAATATTAATTAATTATGTAAAAAAAAATAAATTTGTTGCCAACAAAATAAATGACAACTTTTATTTGATAAAAGAGTGACAAGCAAAATTATTATTGTATATATTTTGCGTTATGTGAAAAATTTTAGAATATCGATTGACATCGATGTCAATTGTTACATAAATTATCATTGAAAACTATTATCGATCATACATAGTATAATTATGTATGCTATATAATGCTAGCATGCATGATTGGAATTGATGTTGATTGACATTGTAAATTTTTTTATGTAATTTTAACCCCCCTGATATACATTTTCTGGCTCCGCCCTTGCACACGGGTACTATCCTATTTCATTTTCCTACCCAAATTTTGAAGTCAATTTATTAAAAATGAAAAAGGGAATAGAATTAGTAGTATCGACAATTTATATAAAAAATTGTGTATGTTGGTCCCGGTAGGGTCGAAAGGAGAGTCTAGAGGGGGGGGGGGGGGGTGAATAGACTCAATTCGTTTTTCACGAAAATAACCCCTTTCGTGGTTATTACGCAGCGGATATGTAATCTAAATTTTAGGTTTCTTTGCACTGTTTGATCTTATGAAGAACTTTCGGTTAGGGCAAATGAAATGCAATGCACGAAAGTAAAAGCTGAAATGTAAAGAGACAAGGACAATAGATTTTCATAGTGGTTCGGCCAACTGTGCCTACTCCACTCTTCTTTCACAACTCGTGAAAGGTTTGCACTATCACTCCTAGTACAAATTATACCAAGATAGCTTCCTTGATCACTAAGCCGGACAGCTACTTGAAGGTTTTTCAACACCTAGAGTTTACTCCACCTCTATCAACTTCTTCTTCAGAGTTGAGGGTTGGATGAGAATAATCTTCGAGTTTCTCCAACACGGTGAAGTCTTGACTGGCTGGTGGCTGGATGGATAATCAGCGTATACAAAGTTGCAAGACTTCTTCAAGGTTGTGTGAATGAGATCAGATTTGCTTCTACAAAGTATCACACCTTGAATCACTGGATTTCAAAAGCTTTGTGAGAGTGTTCTTAATATAAGGAGCTTTTGAGAATGAGAGTTTTATCGTTCAGAAAACCAGCACCTTCTAATGTGAAGAAGATGGGTATTTATAGGTGAGAGGAAATCCATCCGTTGGAGGGAGATGGCATTTCAAACCTATGATCCAGTGGATAATAACCGGAGAGCCTTGTGAATTTATTGCTTCATTTAATGCGACTGTAGTGTATAGCCGTTGGAGACAAGCACTTTTGCTTATTTTGTTGTCTAGCTCTGAAAAGTAGTGCTGTGGCATTTAATGCACCTTGATAAGTGTTCTCTTATTCCTAGGAGAGTTTCTTCCTAAGATGATCTTCAGATGAGACAGGTTGACAACATTCTTCTTGAGTTGAGAGAAGATGAGTTGTCTTTACACCACAAAGGTCTCTTGGTCAGAAGGCTTCTTTCGGCTTTAGCTTTTTGTTGTAGAAGATCATCTTTCGTTGTTTAGTAGAGATGAGACTATGCTTCATCGAACTGTTCTTCTTTCGTTGAGAGAGAGACCTAACTAAAAACGATTCTTAACTCGGTTTCGTGTGTTTGTCTAGCTTAACACGAATTACATGTTGAGTTAAGGTACCTTTCGTCTAAGACGAAGGAAACAAAAACAAATGACAAAAAGTTAGGGGTCTACTTCTAAGTTACATTGGTATCATTAAAATCTTAATACACATGTTCCTAACAGTGTAATTAAAGATGAAAAAATTAATTCGAATATATATAAAATCGTTAGTATCCATTTATTATAAGGAAGGTTGGGCAAATTAAAAATAAAATCCTCCTATTGTAAATTTCTTCTTCCTCAAAGCCTTCTCTCAAGGTAACAGAAGTTTCCTCAATCTTCTTTCTGTTCTGTTTATATTGTTAATTTTATGTGTTAATCTTAATTCATGAATTGGGGATCTGGAGGGGGGGGGGGGGGGGGGGGGGGTGTTCTTTGATCTTCATAAATTGCAATTGGTTTTAGGGTTTCTTTTTATTTTTTATTGAATCGGTGTTAATTGAGACTGTTTATGTTTGTATTTGATGATTAATTGAATTTTGTATTTGGATGTATACAGATGCAGATCTTCGTGAAGACCCTCACGGGCAAGACAATCACCCAGGAGGTTGAGAGTTCCGACACCATTGACAACGTAGAGGGTATCCCACCAGACCAGCAGAGGTTGATCTTGCCGGAAAATAGCTCAAGTAGAATAGGTAGGATCCGTTTATTTTTATATTATTTAATTAATTTTGATTATAAAATATATATTGAGTATTAGTTTCATGTAGGGTCAATTTTTGTAGCTATAAAATGATAGGACTTGTCTCCCCCTGTGCACTACTCGTCAAAGGATCAAGAATCATATTCTCTATTTAAAGTTTTTCAAGAATGGCTGATCACCGTCATCGTTCACCGAGATAACAATACAATATTCATGAGGAAGGTTAAATGTCAATACATACAATTAATTCTTTAATACTTTATTTATTGATATTATCATAGCACAATCATTTAAGATATTGATATGTAGATTTTTTTTTTTATTTTGTGGATTAATAAAAGGTGAAAGAATTGCTTAATCTAAAAACATAATAAGTGTGAATGAAAGTTATACCCTTGATTTATGTCCGTTTTTTCCGTTAAGTTTTTTTGTACATTATGCTATAAAGGTTGTACATTAAAATATTTTGGACAAACATATCCCTACCGTTATAACTTCCGTTATCTTTTCCACTATTGTTACCATGCACATGCATCCACCATATACTTATCTTCTTCATTAATAATAATATATACACATTAAATATTTGAATTATATGTTAATTATTTCATAAATATAAATATCAAATTTATAAAAATGATTTACATTATTATTATTATTATTATTATTATTATTATTATTATTATTATTATTTAGAATATTTTAAATATCTAAAATCTAAATAAATTTAAAATTTTGATATAATGTATTAATATTGGGTACCTATTTTTTGCGCATCGCTCATAAAAAATACTAGTTAGTAATATATGTATAGTAATTTGTCGTCTAACTATTGACTTAATTATTATATATAAAAATAACTATACCAAGGGCTCCGTTCCCTAACCTAATATTCTCTCCGCAAGGGTTTTCCCTCATCCTCCATTGATCGGCCGCCGCCTCCGCTCGTTTTGCGGAGGTGGCGCCGGCCTCCTCTTGTTTCTTTCCCTATTTCGACCGTCTCTCAATCGCCTGTCCTTCAGCCTCTCCTCCGTTGCTGGCACATCTTCCCGCCTCTCTTCCACCGCCACCATCTCCTCCGACCCCTCACCGACTTCCTCCTTCACCACCGCCCCTTGCCATCTCCAACTCCAGATCCAGACTTCTTTAACTTTTTTCAGCGGTTTTATATATATATATATATATATATATATATATATATATATATATATATATATATATATATATGGAAGAGATCAGGTGCATTTGTTGCTTCTCGTGCGGTTGTGCGGTGGATTAATATGCGTGAGGTTTATACTTAATGTGCGTGAGTGTTGTGCTTAATATGCCTGAGATTTGTACTTAATGTGCGTCATGTTAATATGCGTGAGTTTTGTACTTAATGTACCTGAGTATTGTGCTTAATATGCGTGCGATTTATGCTTAATGTGTGTGAGTAATTCAGAATTACGAGCCCAGAAGGAAGCAGAACAGAAAACTCACGCACATTAACGCCCAAGCTTCTTGTTACTTCTTACTTCAATTTGGCCATGTATTCTGCATTATCAGCTACCTTCAGTGCAATTGAATGTTTATATAGATGACGCACGCATAGCAAAATTTGCACACCAGCTAAGTGTGAATTTCTGTTGTATTATTCCCATAATTCTTAACCACCATAGCTCGCCTCCGCATCATCATCATCAGGGAGGGGGCAATGGCTACTGGGGATGGGGAAGAAGCTGACATCCATCTTTTCTGCTGCATTTTACACATTCACGCACATTAAGTACAAATCTCAGGCACATTAAGCACAACACTCATGCACATTGAGTACAAATCTCACGCACATTAATCAACCGCACGACCGCACGAGAAGCATTCAACCGCACGAGAACCTTTCAATATATATATATCTATATATATATATATATATATATATATATATATATATATATATATATATATATATATATATATTGGTTAGTGGTTTGGTGTTTAGGATTTGTTTTGGTTGTTTTAGACTTTATTTTTATCTGTTGTTTTGTTAAAGTTATTTCCTCTCGTTTCGTTTGAGAGTTATTTCATCTCGTGTCTTTAGCGAGTTTCCCTTTCGTTTATTTGGCGAGTTCTTTTTTTTCATAATGTGAAAGAATTTATTTGATAATGGAATATGTTTGCTTCATCCCGAGCACCGAACAAGAACCTTGATATGCAGTTCAATTAATGGAGATATTGTCTATGGACAGAAGAGCCGCAATAGAGCCAGACTTAGGTAGCAAGATCATTAACAATATCAGAAGCTTTAGGTTCTACACATGAATTCAGCTTTAATCTTAAAAACAGTCAGAGATTCAAGTTTCGTGTAGCATTGGAAATTTGTTTCAATGTTTGATTGTAAGAATGTTTTATCATTATTCCATCGATCTTATTGTAAACTTTTCATCGTATGATTAATAAATTAGCTCTTTTATTTTTTTTAAAAAAATATAAAAATAACTTATTAAAAGGTGTGAAATGGCATAATAATATTCTCTACATACACTAATATGAAGTTTGTATCATTCTTTGATTAATTACAATTAATTCTTTAATACCTTATTTTTTAATATTATTATAGTACAATAATTTTGTATATTAATATGTAGATATTTTGATTTTGTGCATAGCCTAATAAAAGGTGAAAAAATGACTTATAATTTGTAATATATGTATAGTAATTTGTCCTCTAATTATTGAGTTAATTATTATATATAAAAACAACTTATTAAAAAGTGTGAAACGAAGTAATAATATTTTTTTACATACACTAATATGAAATCTGGATCATTATTTGATTAATTATAATTAATTTTTTAATACCTTATTTCTTAATATTATTATAGTACAATAATTTTGTATATTAATATGTAGATTTTTAATTTTGTGAACAGTCTAATAAAAGGTAAAAAAATGACTTAATTAGTAATATTTTTTTTTGAAAGAAAATAATATCTATATATTAATGAATGAACATAGCAATAGAGTCAGGAGGGACAGAGTCCCAGTACATAGAATGATCCTGATCAAACACTAACGAAGCTAAAGTATGAGCATGCAAGTTTAACGTTCTGGAAATATAATTCAAAGAACAGTGAGAAAATAACAATATAGATGTCCTACATTGGTCCACAATAATCCCAACATAGGACAAGATGGCCGTAGAGCTTGAGTGTAAGGCATTCCGCAATTCTGAGCAATCCGTAAGAAGATCGACCGCTAACATATTCCATTCTCTGAGCCATGATAGAGCTTCCTTGCAAGCCAGTGCCTCCGCCATAATGGGTGAGAAAGCACCGGGTAGCTTGCCACTCGTCGCCGCTATAAAGGAACCTTCGTGGGATAGTAACACTACTCCATACGTAGCTTCCCCGGATGCCTGCCTGAATCCAGCGTCGAAATAGCATTTCAGCCTTGTATGTACCTCGTTCGTAGCAGCCACCGCATGCATGGGTTGCTGGAGACGGCAATGGACCTGCCGATATGTGTGCATGGCAACTGTAGCTCGCGTCCAGACTCAACCAAGCTACGGGAGTGCTCCTTCCCACACTGCCGAGTTGTGGGCGTTCCACATGTGGTACATCACGGCAACAGCAAGTCCACATTGTTCCTCTGTCAAGATATTCAACATCCACATAAGCCATGCTGATAACGAGTGAGTCACAATATTTGTGACGGGTAACTCTGAAACATTCCAAACCATCTTAGAATAATCACAAAAAGTTAGAGTATGTTGTATGCATAACATCCTCATGTGCCAATTCACACATTGGACATGCAGGATCCACTTCTACTCTCTTTATAATCAAATTATTAGTGGTGGGAATAATATCACATATATCTCTCCATAAAAAAGTCTTCCACTTGGGCGGTACCTTCAACTTCCACAATGTAACCCATTTATCAAAAACACCTGGGTTATAATCAAAATTACCAACAATACGCCTATAGGCATTTTTTACCGTGTAAATTCCTTTTGGGTCGCCCATCCAATACCATGAGTCCTCATAATCCGGGCTAACAGGAATCATAGAAACGCGGTTCACATCCTCAGGAATAAAAAAATCAGATAATATATGCGGATCCCTGGTATTTGTTTGCTGGTCAATCAGGCCAGCTACTAGAGCTCCTCTCAATTCTTCTGGCATAATTGTTTGGACCAGTGGGCTGGGGTCATCTGGTAACCAGGGATGCCCCCAGATCAAGGTCGTCCTGCCATTACCGATCCTCCTCCATACCCCTGAACAGACGAGATCATGCACAACCACAATACTCCGCCAATCGAAACTCGGGCAATTCCCTATAGTTGCATCAACAAAAGTGGTATTAGGATAATAACAAGCCTTGTATACCCTTGCAGCTAAAGTGGTTGGGTCCGTAAGGAACCGCCAAGCCTATTTTCCTAGCATAGCTAGATTAAAAGCACCTAGGTCTTTAAACCTCAAACCACCAAACTTCTTAGGGATGCATAATTTATCCCAAGCCTTCTAATGTATTTCCCTTTCTGCGTCATTTCCCGACCAGTACCTATTCACGGTTCTCTCAATAGATAAATAAAGTGTCTTAGGTAGCAAAAAAACACTCATGGAAAATGTAGGCATAGATTGAGCCACACTTTTCAAAAGTACTTCCTTACCAGCCTTGGACAGTAACTTCTTATTTCATGGACCAATCCTCTATCTGATCTTATCTTCCACATAAGCAAAAACAACCCTTTTATTCCTGCCTACAAAAGACGGTAGATGAAGATATTTTCCAAAATTGGCTGCTTGTTCAACCTCGAGACAACCCGCCACTTCCTCCCTATCCCCGGCCCCCAGGGTATTCCTACTAAAGAAAATGCTATATTTATTAAAATTCACCATTTGACTAGATAATTTTTCATACCTTATCAGGCACTGTTTGATAACACTAGCCTCATGGATATTTGCCTTGAAGAACAAAAGATTGTCATCAACGAAAAAGAGATGTGAAATAGGAGGCGCCCCTCTAGCCACTCTACATCCATGTATAGAACATGCTATCTGTGCCCTCTGTAATAACATAGAAAGCCCCTCTGCATAGATAATAAGCAAATAGAGAGAGAGAGGGCCAGCTTGCCTGAGCATGCGAGTGGGTGATATCTGTCCACCAGCCACACCATTCACCATTATTGTATGTATATCTAATAGTTGTCACACAAAGCATAATCAGTCTAATCCAATGGTCATCAAACCCTATAACACCTAGCATTTTCCTCAGAAACGGCCACTCCATCCTATCATAGGCTTTTGACATGTTTAATTTGAGTGCACCCCATCCTGTCAACCCACATTGTTTCCTATTCAAATAATAACCCACATCCGCTGCTATCAAGATATTATCTATGATAAGCCTACCTGGAATAAAATCACTCTGGGATTCCGAGATTAGGTCCCCCATGAGCGGTTTCATCCTATTAGCTATCATCTTGACCATAATCCTGTAAATAACATTTCTCAATGCAATAGGCCTCATGTCTGCTACTGTCTCATGCACACTCTTTTAAGGGATCAACACAACATTGGTATCATTCAGCCCATCCGGGAAAACACATGAATTCAAACAATTCGTTATAAAAACAGATACATCTCCCCCAACCACATCCCAAAAATGTTGATAGAAACCCAGATTCATTCCATCAGGGTACATAGAAAAGATTGTTGTTTTTACCTTGTCAGATTCGAAGGGATGTAAAAGTGAAACATTATGATCATGAGACACCCGACGAATGAAATTATCAAACAAGGGATCCGCACAAACAGAATTACTGGAGACAAAAATAGCTCTAAAATAATCCAAGATGACTGAATTCATAATATCCCCTTCCACCCACATTCCAGCATCATTTTTAACTCTAGTAATAAATTTCTTTTTCTTACGAGCAGAAGCGTACCTGTGATAGAACTTTGTGTTGGCATCTGCACCGCGGAGCTAGTGCTGCTTCACTCGCTGTCTCCAAAACACATCCTCCTAGGCCTCTAGCTGACCATCTATCTGTTAGATCTCGGCCAATGCAGCCAGATCCCTTCTATTCCTAATAGCCTCTTGCTTCTCTCGAAGTCGTTTAATGCAATCCCCAAACTTATGAAACTGATCACCACCCCACCACATCAATTTATCTCCACCATACTGTTGACAATATATTCAGCAATCCCTCAGTCCTCCTATCCTGCCACGCAGACACAACCACATCCCAACACCTTTCATGCAGGAGCTAAGTCATCTCGAACCTGAAACCCCTCGGACCCCTTCCCCTTTGCATGCGGATTGCATTAATGTAACACCCCATGTTACGACTTTCAAACCCGGATTAATTATTGAATCAATCCCGTTAACAAATGGTTAAAAATGATTTAATTTGGTTAGGATTCCCTTAATTAATTAATGTGGTCCATAATGGATCGTGGACCCTTGCTTATATTAAATACTTTAAGCCTGATAGAAATAAAGAAAGTGGACCTTCTACTATTTAGATTCTAATTAGGATTCCTAACTCTATAAATAGGGGATTAGAAAGCAATTAGAACCCTCTCACCTCTCATAACTCTAATACACGAAATTTTCCAAGAAACCTAGCTAAAGGAATTCACCACCACCAAGCCTAGGGAGATCAATCGGAGGATAATCTTTGAAAAGAACCTTAGTAGCCAAGGGAGGATTAATTAAGGCTAAGAGGTAACCCATGTCTTACAAAACCTATTTTCCTTGCTATATCTTATTTATTGGTTCCTTTGATAATTGTATGTGTGATTTTGTGATTGAGTCTTGATAGAGCCTTGCTTAGGGTTTATGTTGGGTTTATTTGATAATCTTGATGATCTTGATATTTGTGATTGATTATATGCATGATCTTGTGTTAGGCATGTCTAGAGCTTGTCTTTAGGGATTACATGTGATTTCTTGGGGTTCTTGACGTTCTTGCATGATTAGGAAATGATTCTTGAGTCTTGATGTGTTAGGAGCATGTATTTAGGATTTAATTGTGTTGGTTTCTTGGCCTAACTCTTGGTGTTCAAGTCCCTATTGTTGTTGTTATGTGTTGGGATGTATTTGGACGTGATTTTGGGTTTAATTGATGAATTCCGGGAGGGGAAAAATTCCAAGTTACCATCGTACCAGCGGGGGGTAGGTGGGGGGACGAATCCCCACCTGACCACCCACCGGGTACCGTCCACTGTACCAGCAATATTATATAGAACCACGAATAATTATTTTTAAATAAGTATTTTAAAGTATATCAATGCAATATTATATAGAAGATGTTCATGTATAGATAATTGAATGTTGAATTTGTTTACTTAAATCGGTAATTCAAAGTATATAAAAGCAAAATAATATATGAGAGATTGATTATAATTGTCACTAAAATAAATGTTTGCAATTTTGTTATAACGCTAGTCTTAAAGCGATAGTCTAGTTAAATACTACTTTTGATTTAAATTTCTTTAAATCTTCTTAATTCTCTTTTAGGTAGCATTGTCATTGTCTTCAGCTTCGATACATGATCTCTATGTTTTTTTATTGGTAGTGTGTCATGTGCAATTGGGTTACTGATGGTAGTATAGAGAGCATCATCATGCAATGAGATTATGGTGTATGAAGTTTTAGATTTGCCTTGCTGTATATATGACGGGGATCTTAGTTGTACTATAAAATCTTTATCTTACAAGCGCCGGGTGATATTTGGTAGTTGTAGTTTCCCCCTACATGTTTCATGTGTTGTGAGATGTGTGTTGTAGATTATACATAGGCAGGTGAAGGACGAGGTTACCCCTTCATTTAAAGTCCAATTAACCGTATTCTGACGAAAGGATCTCAATTGGAAAGAAATTGAAAGTCAAGGGATCTAAAGTGTCCAAATTAAAAGCCAGGGAATAATTTTAGAAAATCAGTATAGTCAGAGGACCATTGCTAGAATTAACTCAAAAAGTAATAGGAAGAGGATATATTAATTTTTTTTATTTACCTAAAAGGTTCTACTCTATTATATTTTTGAATGCTACTAATTCACCAACTGAAGCATGAAGAGTCAAAACCGCCTCCACTGAGGCTCGAATTCACTCCCTTCCAAATGAGAGTGCAACCCAAGTGCAATCAGATCACAAGGTCTTGGCGGTTTTGCTCTATTATATAGTAGAAGAAGACGATAGTAATATATATATATATATATATATATATATATATATATATATATATATATATAATAATAATAATAATAATAATAGAAGTGTCTAGAAAGGTTTCCCCTACCAACTTAGGGGCATTCTGTAATATCAATCATTTGGACAAAAATGGAATTTGAAATTAAAATTAATTACACTTTTATTTCATATGATAATGATAATTTTATGTTATTTTCAACTTGAATTTATTTTTCTCTTTTTCTTTTTGTAAAAATAAAACTAATGTATAAAAAATATATCATTAAAAAGCTCTAATTAAGATCTTTTGAATGAGATCAATATTTATATATTTTTTTTTTTAAATAAATAAATCTATAGGTACTCATAAAGTCATCACTTTAGTGTAATATTTATATACAATAAACTTTGTTTTTATTAACATATGAAAATACATATGATGATGTCCATTCAATTTAGGATTTTGTCTTTATTCAAAAAAAAATATTCATTATCAATAAATTAAATAAGAAAAAAAATTTAATTAGTTATATTGTCTTTATATTTCTCTAATATAAAAATTTTTAACATTCAAATTCATCAATTGATTATATTCGCTACATTGTCCCTACAATGTCTTTATTAAAAAAAATAAAAAATTATTCATTATCAATAAATTAATTAAGAGAAATAATTTTATTAGTTATACTGTCTTTATTTTTTTCCAATGTAAAAATTCTTTACATTCAAATTCATCAATTGATTACATTCACTACATTGTCTATTATTTTTTTGTGCGCTATTTTTTAATTAAATATCAAAGTTATAATACAAATAATGTTATATATTTATTTACCAAGTAATTTATTAATACCATGAAAAAATTAAAAAAATATAATTAAGTCAATCATATTAACTACTTGAGGAATTTGTTGACAAAAAGAGTATTCAAATCACACAATAAATTGGAGCGGAAAACTATCTCGCAGTGTCCTCGTTTGGTAATCAGCAGTTAGCGTTGGCGAATTTGGCCAGCGAATTATATCAACGGTTGGTAAAAAGACATTTGAAAAAATTAGCTATTTAGATTAACATGTAAAATGATAATAATAACAATAATAATAATAATAATAATAATAATAATAATAATAATAATAATAATAATAATAATAATAATAGCTTTAAAAATAAAATTAATAATTGATGGATAATATACTAGGCCTGGGCCACAGGGATCGGCCCATGAAAGCAACTGGATCAAGGAAGCCCAAGAAAGATATATGATATGGAGCAACCCAAGAGTTCGTCAAAGATTGGATCTGTCATTCCTAGTATAATTAAAATTGGACTTATTAGTTCTAGTATAATAGAATTAGATTTTATTATGTAACTAAGACTCCAATATGAGACAGTCTAGAATTCTTATTCCTTGTAGGGCTTTAGGCCCAAAATATGTATAAATAGACCTCTCACATACGGGAGAGCGGGGAACTGAGAGGATTCACAGAGCAATATTTAGCAATACAAAGTTCCTATATTTTCTCCATATATTTCTCCCATATTCTCGTTATTCTAACGGTAGTGTTGGCCTGCCGTTGACTGCCCAAAATTCATAAAACCAACATTGACGCCGTCTGTGGGGACCGATATGAAAAGTTTACGTTCGTCCCTCAAACCTAAATCACACGATCGAAATCCTAATCATGGGGAGCACTCGCCGTAACACCCGCACTGGCTGGTCCGTTCGAGATATGCGAGAAACCCTCAATCGGCCTACCTCTCGCATGTTGTCCGGTCAGTCGGTGCCCCCAAAGGGAGGTGTCAATCTGGAAAATCCTCGAGAAGATGAGACAATTCATCCGAGCTCAAGCTCACCGGTCCTTGGTGTCTCACAAACCCAACCGGTCGAACTTCTTCCCACTGTAGTGGAGGCCGCTGAGCACCTCCTGGGAGTCTTGCAGCGTGACTGCATACTGAGAGGCGAATCCCCGTTGGACCCCCTCGTCAATATCATTCATACAGAGCAACAACAAGGACATACCACTTGAACTTCACTACACGATCTCGATCAGAGCCTAGGACTTTCGAGCCAACCACTAGGACAAGACAATCTAACAATTAAACGACCGCGACAGAAAACAAGACTCAACCGCCAACGGCGAGCGAGGGCTGCTTAGATGGTATGCCTTCGCACGCGAGAATCACAAGGGGTGGAGCGCAATAGAGAAGGCTCTCCAAATGGCCTGGTAGAAATTTGGGGCGAGACCCCTGACGTCCAGATGGAAACCAAGGGTAGAAAGGACCGGCCGACCACTCAGTCTCCGCTGTCCACCAACCCATTCTCCATAGAAATCCAAGAATATCGCACATCAAAAGACTTTGAATGCCAGGTGATGCCCGCATTCGACGGGACAGGCGACCCCGATGACCACTTGAATAGCTTTCGAACAAGGATGAGGATAATAGGGGCAGGAGATCCTATGTGCTACCACACCTTCTTCACGACACTAAATGGGGCAGCGCAACATTGGTTCATGTCACTGCCACCCCAATTTATCAATTGTTTCGAGATCCTGACAAAGCAGTTTGTAACACACTTTGCTGGAAACATAAGTAACAAAAAAATACTTCATGGCCTTAACTTCAGTACAACAGCAAAAGTCAGCGACATTGGAAGAATTTCTAAAGCGTTGGCAAGAACAAGTGCAGAAAGTAAATAATTTGGACGATCGAATAGCCCTAACATTGTTCATGGAATCATTAAGGTCTGGGGATTTACTCACTAGCCTGCGAAAGGAAAGACCCGAGACCTACGCTCAGGGCATCCAGTTGGCCCATGAATACGCAGAAGTAGAGGAAGCTTTGCGGCAAAAAAAGGAAGCGGAAGGAAAAACGGCCTTGCGAGGATATAAAAACACGTTTAGATGATCAACCATCAGAAAAGAAAAATAAACCATGTTTTCACAAGGAGCACATCAACCACCGTTACGGAGCGGTCCCAGCACTAGGGTCCCGACCAACGTACAAGGTAAAATTACCCCGCCATACATCGACCACGAGCCTACCACTACCATTACCACCCCTCTCACAGCCAATCAATCAATCATTTTATATGCAACCGGCCGCAATGGGACCTAAATATTGTCCCTACCATCGGAAGGCAGGACAGACCACCAAAGAATGCACCACTCTGCAGAAGGAGATCGGAAACCTCATTCATAGAGGAAGACATGCCACTCGCCCCAACCAGTGGTCATGGCAACCCATGCCACCAGCCGGGGATCCCATCCGTAAAAAGAGACCTGCCACTCACTCCAACCAGTGGTCACGGAAACCCACACAGCCAGTCGGGGAAACCATCTATAGAGGGAGACCAACCACTCGCTCCAACCAGTGGTCCCCGCAACCCACGCAACCAGCCGAGGATCCCATCCATAGAGGGAGACTGGCCACTTGCCCCAACCAGTGGCCACGGAAATCCACGCAACTAGATGGGGACACTATCCCTATTCAACAAAAAACAGAACCCTCACAGAAAATTTCCAGTTGGGGAGACGACGACTGCGAGGAACCGGAAGACCAAAATTGGAAACACAAGCCCATAATCCGCTAAGAAAGCAAGACCTACAAATCCAAACCAAGAAGACACATTCGAAAATCAGGGCGGTTCAATAAACACTATCAATGGTTGAGAAAATAATCTCGCATAGTTAGTTACTATGTACAATAGACTATCATATTATAGTATCATAATAAAGTCATCAGTTCGATCTGAACATATACCACACCTACCCCATTCAAAAGCCACAACAAGGAGGAAAGATTGTTGGTCACTCGCACCCTGGTAGTCCTGCCACTCTCTAGAACAGGCACCACAAAAAGACAATAGGTAACGTCACACGACAATGACCTTTAATATACATAAAAATCATCTAGAGTAAACGATCAAACTAATAAAGACAACCTACCTGCAACATCAACAAACCGCCTCAAATGCCCTCTGAATTCTAGCAGTTAGTTTGGACAAACTACGCGGCTCGACCGGTCACCTCAACTGATCATCCAGACTAGTCCTCCTGACTGGTCATCCCACCACCCAGTGGTCAACAGACCTTCCCACCACTCGATGGTCGACGGACCTTCCCACAACTCTGTGGTCGACGGACCTTCCCACCTCCCAGTGGTCGACTAGTCATCCCACCACCCAGTGGTCAACAGACCTTCCCACCACTCTGTGGTCGACGGACCTTCCCACCTCTCAATGGTCGACTCGCTTCCCACCACTCAGTAGTCGACAGACCTTTCCACCTCCCAGTGGTCGACTCCTCTTCCCACCCCTCGGTGGTCGACGGACCTTTCCACCTCTCAATGGTCGACTCGCTTCCTACCACTCAGTAGTCGACGAACCTTTCCACCTCCTAGTGGTCGACTCCTCTTCCCACCCCCTCGGTGGTGGACGGACCTTCCCACCTCTCGGTGGCCAACTCATCTTCCCACCCCTCGGTGGTCAACGGATCTTCCCACCTCTCGGTGGTCAACTCGCCTTCCCACCACTCAGTAGTCAACTCATCTTCCCACGACTCGGTATTCGACAGACTTCCCACCCCTCAGTGGTCGTCACGCATGGAGTAGTAATCAGATCATAGTGAAACAAATGCATATAACTGCCGGAGTAAAGAACCTCGCAATATCAGATAACGGGGAATCAAAAATATAACGGGGAGTTACAGGTGAAGGGTTTAGTGTAGAGTCTAGGGGTTATAGGAGAGAAGTCTAGTCAGTATAAAGTCTAGGGCAGAGTCTAGGAGACAGCAGGGTCTAAAACATGGTCGTCAGGAAGTGGTCAAATGGAGTATGGGATATCATAATCTGAGAACGGGAGACGTTCTCAGAAATATTTGGCAGATGAGCATACTGCTGAGAACGGGAGACGTTCTCAGAAATATTTGGCGGATGAGCATACTAGCTAAGAACGGGCGACGTTCAGAAATATTTGGCAGATGAGCACACTACTGAGAACGGGAGACGTTCTTAGAATATTTGGCAGATGAGCATACTGGCTAAGAACGGGAGACGTTCTCAAAAGCCAACGATGGAGTGTCATACTGACAGAGAACGGGTGACGTTCTCAAAAAGCAATCGGCGGATGGGCATAACTGGTAGAAAACGGGCGACGTTCTCAAAAATCTTTTGGGCGTATTGACTGAGAACGGGCGACGTTCTCAAAAATCTTTTGGGCGTACTGGCTGAGAACGGGAGACGTTCTCAAAAGCCATTAGTGGATGGGCATACTGACAGAGAACAGGAGACGTTCTCAAAAGTCTTTGGTGGATGAGCATATTGACAAAGAATGGGAGACGTTCTCAAAAGTCTTTGGTAGATCGGCATACTAACAGAGAACGAGAGACGTTCTCAAAAACCAATAACGGAGTGGCATACTGACAAAGAACGGGCGACGTTCTCAATAATCTTTGGCGGTAGGGCGTACTGGCTTAGAACGGGAGACGTTTTCAAAAATCTTTGACGAACGGGCATACTTGTTGCGAATGGGCAACATTCTCAAAAATCGTTGGCGGTTGGGCATACTGACTAAGAACGAGTGACGTTCTCAAAATATTTGGCGGATGGGCATACTGAATGAATATTGAGAACTAGACACGTTCTCAAACATATTTGGCGGATGGGCATACTAGATGGATGGAACTGGATAAAGCTGGAAATAACAAACATAAAACAAAGGAGCAGAAAAGGAACAGGAAAGCAAAACAAGCAGAATAGAAATTGACACTACAACTCCCAGTTGTACAGAAATAAAATAAAAATTGGCAAATTGCTACAAATCATCTAAGAAGCAGGATCACAGCTGGAAACATCCCCTTGCTCAAACCCATTATGGCAACCACTATCATCAGCTCTTGGTCATATACTATCCAAAAGACACGTCAGCATTAAAAAGGTCGGCCATCACATGAAGATCGACGGTCGAGTCCAGATAATCATGATCCAGAGGAATCTCTCACTACTCACTTAAACGCTGCGACAGTCCATAACCTGAAAAAAGAAGGGTCAGGAGTATGTTGTGACCTAGACAGATGAACACAATACAACGGGCGTAGTATTGACTTGGAAGAAGCAACAAATAGATAAACAGTTTGAAAAAGATTAACTGATTGAGAGATACCTGGTAGAAAAAGCAGAAGAACCACCATCTGACAACCAACAAAAAAAAAAAAAAAACCACCACTCGGGCTGACCGACCAGTCACAATGGTGACCGATCAGTTAGACCAGTGAAGTTTCAGTCCGCCAAATGCCGATGACAACTGAGTAGGTACTCAACTCAAAAAAAAAAAAAAAAAAAAAAAAAAAAAAAAAAAAAAAAAAGAGAAAAGCGGAAGAAGGTTTGCCGACCGGTAGGCCAGTCTGACTGGTTAGATGCGCTGACCGGTCAAACTATTAAAATAAATTTTTAAAAAATCAAAACAAGTGACTAGTCAGCCTGACCGGCCAGTCACTCCGGTCAAAAAAAAAAAAAGGAAATGACATTGAAACTATTTATGGGGTTTCTGTAAGTTTTTGGGGGAATCCCATGGAAATGTAGTACTCACACCCTTGAGAGTTACTGGTCATCATAGTTGAGATATAATGATATGATCCAAATTTGATTTTTTTTCTTGGCTAAATGTGAGTTGAGGAGAAAGGGCGCGGCTTTGCTTAGTTTAATTTTGGGACACACAATATTTGCATAATCTGAAACATGTGAAACAAAGAAAGGGCATGGAGAAAAAAAAATGATGAAAACTCCATTGTCGACTCCTACTACAACAAACAACACTGGCCAAACAACAACCAAGAAGATGACTTACCCGCAGCTGTGACTGTCAATGGCGCTCGGAAAAGAGGCAAAATGGAAGGAGAGTGCCAGACCGTTGATGGCATCCATTGATTAAGGCAGTTTGCCGTAGAGAGGAGAAAGGTAGTGAGTTATCTAGGCTGGGAAACTCCATTATCAACTTTTATTTGCCTGTATATATTCCTTTCGCAAAAACTGCCCTTTGAGTAAGTCAGTGTACATATAATCACGGCTGACCTCCTTCCTTTACACTGCTACCGACATGGGCATATATACCAATGCATATACATACGCGATTAACCATCACCATATCCATACCTATACATTCAAATTGCTTCGCAGGAGGGGATGTTTTATATACACAAAGTATACATGCAAGGACCACGGGTCACTTCGCAGATGCTGATATATTTGTAGTGTCCACTGGTCACTCATCATCTGCTGTTGCTGATACGTCAGACACCTCTGCGATTTCCCATCGCCGAATATCGCATACAGAGAAATAGTCATGCATTCTTTACCGTCAAAAAAAAAAAAAAAAAAAAAAGGAGATGAATGACCTGAGAGGATGCAGAGATGAATTTTGTTCGAAGACTTGGTTGGTTCTGACAAGCTTTTATGGATTTTGGTGCTTTGCATTTGTTTTCTCAATACTCTAGCTTTGTAAGTCCGATCCCAACACTGACAAGCAGGATTTGACTATGGAGAAAATGGATTTAAATAAGGCTTGACCCTCCTTTTGCTTAGCTTTGATTTTCCTTAACCCACATGGGGCACACCGCACACGTATTATTTACATATATGTATAGATATAAGTATGAAGCAAACCCACAACATGTGTACATTTATGAGAAGAGCTACACGCACTTGAACCTTCTCATCATTTCCTGTTCATAATGACGTTGTCATTATTATTATTATTATTATTATTATTATTATTATTATTATTATTATTATTATTATTATTATTATTAGACCATAGAATAGTTTGATATACTTTCCTGATACATCGACCTCACGAAATCTCAAGAAAGTGGAGGACTGGATGATGGATAATATACTAGGCATGGGCCACAGGGATCGGCCCATGAAAGCAACTGGATCAAGGAAGCCCAAGAAAGATATATGATATGGAGCAACTCAAGAGTTCGTCAAAGATTGGGTCTGTCATTCTCAGAATAATTAAAATTGAACTTATTAGTTCTAGTATAATAGAATTAGATTTTATTATATAACTAAGACTCCCAATATGAGACAGTCTAGAATTCTTATTCCTTGTAGGGTTTTAGGCCCAAAATATGTATAAATAGACCTCTCACATACGGGAGAGCGGGGAATTGAGAGGATTCACAGAGCA